AAATATTCAGAAGCTCCATCACTAAAATAAATTCAATTTTCAGCATTAATAACCCCATTTAGCCAGCCATTTATTTTATGCAGAGCAATGCTCTCATAACACAGCAATATGGGTAACCCAGTTCCTTGAAGCTAAAAAAATTGAAATAACGAAATGGCCTGATATAAACCGGCCTGAAAATTTACGGACAATGCATGGTGACTAAACCATGGCTAAAAAGAACAATTCTGTCTGAATTGTGAAAGGGTCTGGAAGAAGAATGGACCAATATCAAATCAGAGCAGGAGGTTAGTGATTTTCTGTGGATGCAGATGGGCTGAAGTCTTTCAAAGAAAGTGTCTGTACAATTCTAACAAATTATATTTGACAGTTGTAACCTTCAGAATTTATCAAGAATTTCAGCAGTTTTATCTTTCTCCAAAAGCCATTGGCAGTATGTTATGAGAAAAATCTGTATGGTATTTTAAAAAATGCATGTTGTACAGTTTGAATTGGGAAAGGGAATCGCTGCATTGTTCATTGTGTAAACGCATTTTTAAGTGACTAAATCAGTCAGACGAACGTGAGCGTGTTTCACAATTCACTACACTATCAAACTTCATCAGTTTCCTGCAGGCTTGTCCTTGAAAGACATTGTAACTCATTAAAATGCGACACTTGTAAAAGACAACAAGAACAAGTCAACGAGACATGGGATATGATCATAAGGCAATGTTCTGCAAGAGTACAACAATCTTACTATAGGCCAGGGGTATTTAATTGACAAGTGTTCCGGTCTCTACATGTCCTGGGACTAGACAATTAATTGAAAAAAAAAATCAAAGACAGAATTTACACAGTTAAAATAGTCATTAAAGATTAGAATATTGATCTATTCTAAATATTGGTTAATTATTTTGTGATTCACATGGTGTTGTCTGTTTATTTACTGTTGTGAATTGCATTTTGGGAGTTTTATCTTTCCTCTGTCGACTTTTGATATTGAAAATTCAACTCTGTGATTTAACAAATATGCTTTCATTGGCATTTTAGTAGTTTAAGACACTGACATTGTTTAAGAAATATATATATACTGCTTGTTAATGCAAAATTTCTAATCAGCCAATCACATGGCTACAACTCAATGCATTTAGGCATGTAGACATGGTCAAGACGACCTGCTGCAGTTCAAACTGAGCATCAGAATGGGGAAGAAAGTTGATTTAAATGAATTTGAATGAGCATCTCTGAACACACAACACATCCAACCTTGTGGCGGATAGGCTACAGCAGCAGAAGACCACAAAGGATGTCACTGCTGTCAACTAACAGGATAACGCACCATGTCGTAGAGTGCAAATTATCTCAGAATGGATAATGAGTTCACTTTACTTAAATGGCCTCAACAGTCACCAGACCTCAATCCAGTATAGCACCTTTGGGATGTGGTGGACTGGGAGATTTGTATCCTGGATGTGCAGAAACCAAAATCTCTGAGGAATATTTCCAGCACCTTGCTGAATCAATCTCACTAAGGATTAAGGCAGTTTTGAAGGCAAAACGGGGTCCAACCCAATACTAGTAAGGTGTACCTTAAAATGCGGCTGGTGAGTTTAGGTAAGTCAGCTTGTAAGATAACAGAACAATTACTGGCAGTTTAATACCAGGTTTTGGCATAATTTGCTACACAAGACCAGGCAATGTATCACTTCAAAACAGATTGTTGGTGCGTCATGTTGGAGCAGTGGTTAGCACAATCGCCTCACAGCAAAAAGGTCACCGGTTCAAGCCTCGGCTGGGTCAGTTGGCATTTCTGTGTAGAGTTTGCATGTTCTCCTCGTGTTCAAGTGGGTTTCCTCCGGGTGCTCCGTTTCCACCACAGGTCCAAAGATGCACTATAGGTGAATTGGGTAAGCTCAATTGTCCATAGTGTATGTGTGTGAATAAGTGTGTATGGGTGTTTCCCAGTGATGGGTTGCAGTTAGAAGGGCATCTTCTGCATAAAACATATGCTGGAAAGTTGTGGCGACCCCTGATTAATAAGGGGACTAAGCCAAAAAGAAAATGAATGAATTAATGAATAAATAGATTGTCGAACACATATGGGTGTGAATATTACAAAGTAAGTAAACTTTTTTTTTTTGTTACATTTGGATATGACAGAAAGACTAGGTCAATAAGAAAAGTTTGTGTTCAGGGGTCGAGATTGTGTACCATTATGTATCATTTTTAAATTTTGTTTAAAACTGAAGTCACCTTCATTTGAACAGCTCTTTATCCAATGTACTTCAGCTAGCACATATGCTGATTTACAAGAATGAATAAGCAGATAATAAAAGTCAGATAATGAAAATTCATCATTGTGAATAATTCACTGTATTAACATACTCTATTTACTTTATCAAACAGGCAGGAGAACAGTGGTAGAATGCTGATGTACTAATAGTTAGCTCAATAAATGGTTCAGTGAGATTCAAAATGACCCCAACTAAGTGAGCCAAAAGGAACCGACCCAAAGTCCACCGTTAGGATGTATCTTGGGATAGATTAAATACATAACTGTATCTTCTAACCCTGGTCTGTAATTTCCCACATCATAATAAAACAAACTGCCATATACCATATACTCCACATTTTTAGTTCAATGTTTACATGTCAGGTCAATAATTATTTTATGGAAATAAATAAACACTACGTCACTAATGACGGATTGCAAATAGCGTAAAAAAAAAAGGCAAAATACAGCATGATATATTGCTCACAGGTTTCAAGACATCCACTCACCAAGATATAGACAGCAGACAAACTGAGAACAAGAAAATTCTCTTAACCATTTGCACTGAGAAAAATACTGTTTGCCCTTATGTTCATGATTTACAATTCAGTAATATTCTGTTCTACACTTCACCATTGAGATAGACAAGACATTTTAACTCTCCGACTAACTTTGCTATCTAAATATTAAACTTTCAAAACCCTCTCACTTTATCACAATACTAAGAATAAAAATCAACTAATTTTCATTACTATAGCCCTTTACAGTGTGAATTGTGCCAAAGCAGCTTCACAAACAGAATGCTCATATGCTTTGTTTAAATCTGATATATTTTTTTTTTCTGTATTTTGAGTTATATTCAAAAGAATGTTCAGTATATTTGCATATTTAAGAGCAGGGAAAATAATTATTTGGTTGATTTATGTCTAAAGAAGGAGCTGTTAACATGAACTTGATGGTAAAAACCCAAACAATCAAAAAACAAATTTGTATGAACTTTGATCTTTAGTTCCTATTTTTATTGTATTCAGGCCAGGTGATTAACTGTGAGTTGTTTTTGGGCTGTCTTTGGGGTCATTGTCTTGCTGAAATGTTCAGCCTGGTTTAATCTTCATCATTTGGTAATGTAGGTGTTGGGACTGAAGCAGCTAATATTAATTTACTCTGACAAGTGACAGGGCTGCTTTCTGCTATTTCAGGTGCTGTCTGGGCTTTCCATGCATTTTTACACCTTCCTTTCTTCATGTGTTCAATATTTTCCCTCTGGGAATTTCATTTTATTACACATACTCAATTTCTAAACTAATTAGTTTTGATTTCTTTAGAAATTACTTTGATTGTCATTGACATCTGGTGAAAGAGTGAAAAAGTCATAAAAAATAAAAATAATAGATCATATAATCTGTTTTTAAACAGATCCAAAAAAGTTCTAAGTATTAAAAAAGATCTTCTTTGTGAGTACATCAGGGTACTGAATCACATCACAAATTCTACATACATTATAGAGAGTCTACAGAGTCTGCAGATATTGCAGTGTTTCCTAAAGTGGTCTTTGATCTTTAATCTTGAAATCAGCAGAGCATATAAATTTGCATTTGCATGTATAGTTGGAATTAAAGATCTGATTTAAATTACAGAAAATGAATGAAGTGGCACTTGAGTGTGAACAGGCTCTTCATCTATATGACTTGATCACACATGAAAAACATTTTCAACCAAATATCAAAAAGATCTACAATATACTACCTGACAAAAGTCTTGTTGCCTATCCAAGTTTTAGGAACAACAAATAATAACTTGAGTTCCATTTGATCATTTAGTATAAGAAGTGGATTATATGAAAGGTACTTATTTCACCTAAATAAAATATGCCCATGCCTAGATTTTAATTAGGACAGTAAGGTCTGACTTAGCTTAGACACAAGTATTGTCACTTTACAGAAATGATATAGAGTATAGAATATAAATGGTGCAGTGGAAAATATTATTATTGTATATGACTTCCATGAGTTTGGAGGACTGCATCATACATCTCTGCGATGACTCAAATAGCTTATTAATAAAGTCATCTGTAATTACAAAGAAAGCATTCTATAGCAGGTCTCCCAGAGTTCATCAAGATTCTTCGGATTCATCTTCAATGCCACCTTCCACATCTTATTCCAAACATGCTCAATAATGTTCATGTATGGTGACTTGGCTGGCCAATTCTGGAGCACCCTGGCCTTCTTTGCTTACAAGAACTTCGATATTGAAGCTGAAGAATTTGCCCTCTCTTGTGGTTTGTAATGTAATGGTCAACACAAATGCAGATCTCTCCCCATACTGAATGTAACCCCAAACCATGATTTTTCCTTCACCAAATTTGACTGATTTCTGTGAGAATCTTGGGTCCATGTAAGATCCAATTGGTCTTTTGCAGTATTTGTTATGATTATGATGCAGTTCAACACATGATTCATCATAAAAATGTACCTTCTGCCACTTTTCCAAATGATCAAGTAGAAGTCAAGTTATTTTTGTTGCTCTTACAACTGGCATCGATGACAAGAATTTGTCAGGTAGTGTACAGGTATGTTGTCAATTTTGAGTTCTTATTATTCTCAGACCATTTCTCCATTTATAAAACTTTAAACGTTTCATTAAGTTTAAAACTTCAATTTTATAAAACTGATCTTATGCAGCTAAACACATAAAAACATGATGCTATAAATTGATACTCAACAGTAAACATGCTGGAACTTACCGTTAACCTTTTTCCAGAATCAACTTCGATCATTCCTCTTAATAGATTTTGGCATTCTGGTGGAATAAAATGGGGCATGTGAAACACGCCCAGCTTTACTTTTTCTAATAAGTTTCGTAAATTATCATCATCAAACGGCAGAGCTCCCTGAATAAAAGACAGACAAAGAAGAGAGAAAATGCATAAGAGAAATGCGTAAGATTAAACAAATACATAAAATTAAATGAAAGTGCTCCGGGGATTGACCCATAAACATTGAGTTCTCATTTTCTAAACTCTAACTTTGCGAATTTTGTTTTACTTGAAGCATCTCTTAAGTACTGCTGACATGCTAGAGATGAGGATGAAGCGGTTTCAAAAAAGCAAACAAATACAAAATAAATAGGAATGAGAGAGTCCAATCACTTTGGATCTGAGAGGATTGTGCGTATTCAGCATCGAGTCAGCCAAATTACAGTCTTCCAGCAGTCAATTTTATTTCTGGTTTTGGTGCCATCTGCCTTTCTATATCAGGTCAATATACATTTCATAAATGAACAAGCCACTACATTTCAGTGAAGCGGAAATGGAAAGGAAACAAAACAAAAACAAGAAAACATGTATAGCTGAGTGCATTTTTCTTTATTCATGTAAAATGCAGCAATAGCCTGTTCTGAACACTAAATGTTTTCTGAAGAAAGAAGTCATTATTTCTAGAATAACCTGGTTCCAGTTTAAAATGCAGGCCAGTGGCTCTGTATATAGAGATAAACCTCTCAGACTCAAGGGTTTCAATTTTACTCTCAAAATTGAACAAGAGCATTTCAAATGAGCTGGAACATTTGGGGGATATTGCGCTGGGGATATTGCTATGGTTCAGACGTGCAGATTAAACAATTCAAATAAAATCTGTTATTAATGCAGGATTGAGATGCCCCTATACTTGCCCAAAATTGTACTGCTTTTGGAACTTCTTCTTTTTTCAGATGTTTATTTTTTCACAAAATACCACTTAAGGCCCTCTGATAACTTTTAGAAAATATATTATACATACTTAAAAAACATAATATAATATGTTAATGAATGGCCAGTTTAATTTAAGGAACAGTTCATGTAAAGTTACTTTTTTGTATGAACTTTTCTACTTCTCTACATTATATGCATATATTTTGTCTATTTTACAGTTATACAGTATATTTTACAGTAAGAAACTCTGGGTATTTATAGTGATTTAGGAACAAGGAGGACAAGCTGCTCCTCTCAAAATTAGTTTATAAATAAACTTCACTTAAGTTTTTTTAAACAATTTTAAAGTCAATATTATGAGCCCCCTTAGGCCATTTTTATTTTGATTGTCTACTACAGAACAAGCCACCGTTATTCAATAACTTGCTACCCTAATTTGACTAATTAACCTAATTAACCTATTTAAGCCTTTAAAGTACTGTCATCATGGCAAAGCTAAATGAAATCAGTTATTTAAGTTATTAATATACCTGTATATAAAAACACAGTGTTTAATAATTCTGACTTCAATTGTATATATCTTCCATACACTGAATGTAAAGTTGTTTTTCATCTGTCAAACAGGTTAATAAAATCATGAAGGTGAGTAATCATTGGAAAAAAAAAAAGAAAAAAAAAAGTTACATTTGGGTGAACTGTTCCTGTAAGGTAAAATCAGGAATGACTTTGCAATTAGATATGACTCACCACCAACAGAGCAAACAAAATGACCCCACAGCTCCAAACGTCTGCTTTCCTTCCATCATACTTTTCTCCCTAACAACCAGAAGACAATGTCAAAACACAATAATTCTTATTTAAAAACAGGTCATTCATTTATAATTCTCTTTTTTGTTCTTTTACAATGAAAAAAAAAAATGAATAAAGCAATACTCACCCGTATTACTTCAGGACACGCGTAATGAGGAGATCTGAGAAAAGATCACATTAACTGTAGTTACTGATAGAAAATATATAATCTTATTTATTTTCCTATACCTATTTTAACATATTCATTCATTCATTCATTCATTCATTCATTCATTCATTCATTCATTCATTCATTCATTCGGCTTGGTCCCTTTATTCAATAGGGGCTGCCACAGCAGAATGAACCACCTATTTTAAATAATTTATTTATTTATTTATTTATGTATTGATATATTTGACATTTTTCTTCTTTTGCGTTGACTAACTTTGAATTATTTTTGACAAACAGACATTTTTGGCCAAGCACATTTCATTTTAACACAGTTTCTAATGAGCCAATCCCACATCAGCAACTTGTAATTATAAAGAATTAACTATTGAAAGTAATTATAAAATTGTACATTAATAATTGTTCGGCAACTTTGCTTGTGAAATGGTTATTGGTGCCAAATGAACTCATATGGGCATTTCAGAATCTACTCAAAATATACTCAGTTTTTACACACATGTCCTGGTTTCACAGCTAGATTTAGATGTATTCCTGAGTCTTTGTTGATCTTAGAACAATATGTTTATCCCCAAATTGTATACAATATTAAAACATACCCCTAAAATAGGTAAGTAATTGCTAATATCAGAAAATAGATGAATAACAATGATGTAACTACCTAAGCCTGACTGCTAGTCTACTAACTAATAGTAATAGTTTATAGAATAAAAGTTTAACCACCTTTCTGCTCACTTATAAGGGATTTATAAAGTGTGAACTGTCCTCACTTTAGATTAGGTCACAAAACTGTATAATTCTGGTAATAATGCTTTTATTAACATACATAGTAACCATTACTACAGTATATGGCTGAATAATAACATATATAAATCTTGAATAGCTTATTAATCATTTACTAATTCATACTGAATGATCTTAAAAACCAGCAACTACTCTTAAATATAAATTATCACCTTAGAATTATAAGGTTTTATCTGACATTTTTGTCAAAATAGAGTTATTGACCCATTCTCATTAAATGACAACTTATTTACATTATGGGATGTTTTTTTTATATTCTGTTTACATTTTAAGACTTTTTATTTAAAAAAAAAAACAAATGTTACATGCATATTTTTGCTATGAAATGCAAAAAAACTGTATAGCTCAATATCTCAAAATCATTCAGAAAGCAATCTTAGAACCTTATAACTGCAAGGTGACAAAATGTGTGTAAATGCATTACTTCATTTAGTATTGAAAAACTAATCAGTGACAAAGTATGAAAGTACAATTATTAAGCAACAACAACAACAAAAAACAAAGCAAAATAAAAAATCTGCTTTTTAGCACACAACAACAGATTACAGAGATATGCCTGCCAACATGACATAACATATGATGCCAACATGACATCAGACTGACACTGTACCCCAATGTCGTGAGGACATTGCATTTAGTTTGGAAATGAAAATCGGGTTGACATCAAGACCCACCGTCAGGCGGATATCAAAACGTCCAACCTAAAATCAACCAAATATCAGGGTCTACTGTTACAGCTTGACTTTGTGTGGTTGAAACCTTTATGACATCTGTTAGATGTTGCATTTTGGTTGCCATACCTGACAAATAAATGATAGTATTTGACGTCAATTTGACGTTGGTTTAAGATGTTGGCTGGATGTTGGATTTTGACCACTTTGTAACACAATCTAAAATCAACCAAATATTAACGTCATTTAATGTCAATACTGGACATCAAAACAACGTTGTCCTTAGATGCTGGCTAGACATTGAATTTTGGTCATCTGACATCACAACCTAAATCTAATCTAATATTAACATCTTATGACATTGTGTGCCTGCTGGGCAATAATTAAATACACTTTTTACTCATACTTTGAGTGATATTTACAACAGATACTTTTACTCTTACTTCACAACATTTTTTAGGCAAGTACTGCAAGTACTTTCCACCACAGGAAAAAATGTTGACATGTTTCTTGTTTCATCTCTCTTTACAAATAAGATTCAGCAATAGCACTTTGCATCACTGTGAGACTCTCAATCAGGCAAATAATTAGAGAGTCATAATCCAAACATCACAGTTTCGAGTCTTTGTACCATCAGGAATTGTTGTTGTGAGAGTAAATGTATAGCACTAGCTTCTCTAGTCTTTGATGAAGGCATGAACCCCCAACTGCTCCTTGAGAGCCAAGCACTACTTCCATGTGTTTGTATGTGTGTGTGTGTGTGTGTGTGTGTGTGTGTGTGTGTGTGTGAGTGCTCTTAGATTAAATGCAGAGCAAATTCTGAATATAGAACAACATGCTTACCCATGTCATAACAACCAACCATCAACGCATGTGTGACTTCATCTTCAGGCACATTTTGAGCTAATCGAATTATTGGGGGACTTTCTCAGTGAGCTGTCAACACCTTCCTTGACTCCACAAATGCATTTACAAGCTTGTGCTTATGCAAATAGGAATCCTGTTAGTGACAGCTATTTCTTTTTATCTAAATGTATTCAACTTGAAGTACTCCAACTGCATACATATAAACTGAATAGCTACAGTTTGGGTTATATGGGAAACGATCTGGAAAGAATATCATGGATGACTCTGAAAGCACCATTAAAAGGAAAGTGCATATCTGATTCGTCAAAGCTAATTTCAGACGGTATTAAAACACATGGTATTTCACCAAATAAATATTTCAGAAAGGGCTGCACGATTATTTGATTAAAAGATTCTGATCTCGATTCCAAGCCTCCCACAATCGTATTTCTATGTATAATGATTCAGCTGTCTACTGAGCCTCTGATGAGCATAAAACATTCAAAATCCACATTGCTTCTGACCCAAAAGAAGCAGCTGACACTTAATTATTCAATTGCTTCAGTTTTCAGTCTTTTGAACCACAGAATATTTTTTTATTTATTTACCGCAGAAAGTCAAATTTGCACAGAAGCTGGGAATCCATGTTGACATTTTGTTAAATCATTCATGTACAAATGAATGAATAAAATGACAAAAATATTAGAATAATTTTAGTAAAATAAAAATGAATTGAGAATCCTATTGATATGAATAACTAAGTTAACTAAATAACAAACTGATTGGATTATTTGATGTCAATGTGCATGTGAATAATAACATTTGTGCACTTTTAATATAAACATAAATTAAGAAATGTAATACCCTTTTCTCTCAACCCAACCTCCCAAAACATGACAACCTCAAAACATTATGCAATTCTGAGTGTGCCTCACACAGGTGAGTGTGTTTGACAAACCACCTGTAGAAAACACATTCTTTCATATCACTGACATTTTAATCAACATTTGCACAACTTTTGCACCAGACATTTTATTTTATTTTTTTACAATCACTCCATATTTCTGAAAAATAAATAATTTAAATTGTGCAGTTACGAAAGGTTCTCCACACAGGTGGTGAGTGGGCTTGACAAACCACCTGTAAAAATACCTTTCTTTCTCTCTCTCTCTCTCTCTCTCTCTCTCTCTCTCTCTCTCTATACACACATATACATACACACATATATATAAAAAAAAAAAAAAAACAAACAAACAAAAAAAAAACCTCCCCCTTCTTTAGCTCCCTAATTGTCATGATCACGATCCAGGCTTGCAGATTGCTGGTATACATTCACCTTCACCCAGACTACCATCCTGTCACTATATAAACAACAAACTGCACCTCACACACCTGTTCCAGTTCTCCATTGATTACACAAACATAGCTGGGAGCTGCTCAAGGACTGATTACTGGCTGCTCAATTTGTCAGTCACTTTGCTGAGTTTTGTTGATTTATACTCTGCAACATTACATAGCGTTTTCCTTGTTTAGTCTTTCCAGCGCAAAGTGTAAAGTGCATGGTGCAAAGAGTAAAGTGCATGGTGCATAAGCATTAAGGGTTTGTCTTAATACACTTTTGCTATTTTAAGAACGGAAAAAATGTACTTTGTGCCCTGGCGCATGGTTATAGATGTCCTATGCCTCATATGTTTTAATACCTGACAGGTGGACAAATCTAAGCTTGTTTTTATTAAAACAAATATAAATATGCATATAATACATAATATCGCAAATAATAATAACTTTAGGTCCCACTTTATATTAAGTGACCTTAACTAATATGTACTTACATAAGAATTAATAGTTTGTTACAATGTACTTATTGTGTTAATACATGTATTTACTGTGTACTTATGCTTGATAAAATACATGTATGTAATGACATCTGTAATTACATTTGTAAATACACTGTTGACTATCCCTTAAACTTTAACCCACCCTTAAACCTACCCATGCCATCAAACCTGTCCATAACCCAACCTCTGTCCCAACTCAAAAGCACCACAAGTGTTCTCAAATACATTATAAACACAGTAAGTTCATTGTATTTATGTTTTTGATGTAAGTACATAGTAGTTAAGGACACTTAATATAAAGTGGGACCTAACTTTATAATAAAACAGCAAATTGTTATGAATAAACTGAAAAAAAAATACCTCAACATGAAGTAGGCATGGAGGTAATGATTTTTTTTTTGTTTTGTTTTGTTGTGTTTGACCCTTGCCTTGTTTTCTTGTTTACATTTTTGCCGCCTGTACTGACCAATAGCCTGTGACCTGACTACGCTTCCGGATTTCCTTGTGTGTACTCATTTTCTCCTATGTTTGCCTGTCTGACTAGTTATACTAATGCAGATCTTTCATTAAAGTGATTCCTACTGCACTCCAATTTTCACAGAAGCTGGCATAAAAGTTACCAAAAATTATATCAACTGAAGTGATCAATACTGATTTTGATTGAATCTTAGTGCATCAAAAATGACCAGTGATTAACTACTCATTTAGTTAATCAATTACTCATGTATTGGTAACACATAAACACAAGTTAAATTGCCATTCAAACATTTGTTCAAGAAATTCAAATTCATTCAGGAATAAAATGTTGCCTAATAAAACTATTAATTTAAAATATT